ATGTTTTGCCGCCCTATAAGGGCATAATTGTCTTTGTACTGTTCTATTATTTTAGTATAAATAATAAGTGAAGGGGGCGGCCAGATTATTGCTCTCTTTTCTTTTCAACTTCTCTTCTTCTCGTCTTCTCCTTCTCTCTTCAAGAAACTACTTTCTTTCATAGTTTTTAATTCAGCAGATTTCTACTTTTATGAATTTCTTTTTATCTTTCAAAAAAATGTTTATTGGAACCAGATTCAATGAGTCCCTAAGAATAACCTACATTGCATGAAAGAAATGCCAAATCTTGTTCTTACCTGCTTATAGGGTATTAGACTAGTACTCATTTTTCTGTTATTTTGCAATTGCTAATATAATTTTCTGGGACCATTTATAACTTTTCTTTTCTGATTATATATCTATTACTTTTGCTGCATTTTCCTCGTGTTTTGTTGTGAGCTATGTAATGTTCATATTTACATCAGGCAGATTGGCAAGCTCTACGTGGTGCCCTTATTGGCTGTTTGGCACTGCTGAGGAGGAAAAGTAGTGTTGGAATGGTTAGTGGCAGTGATGCAAGATTGGTTGGTCAATCTTATTTACAAAATCTACAAGTGCAGTCTTTGGCGCAGCATGACCGTATGGTAAAACTTCTATGCACATTGTGCTATATCTTAGAACTTTTTAGCTGGTGCTAATCAGCGAGCTTCCTTTCAAAGTCGTAGCAATCTGACATTTTTTCCTTTATGTTCTTGCAGCTATGCTTTGAACTTCTTGAGTGCCTTCTTGATCGCTACTCTGATGCAGTTGCAGCTCTGGTACTTTCCTTCAAATATTCTTTGTAGTCTGTTCACATATTGCATAATCCTCTTTCTCTGTTGGCATTCCCTTTTCATTACTCTACAGTCTACACACTGCTAGGGGTTGTGGCAAGAAACTTTAACTTACTCGGTAGTCTGTTGCCCCCTTCATTTTACTGCAATCATCTCTCCCCTTGTTTGTTATGATATGTTACATTACCATCAGGTCTTGATGATCTTGAAAATTTTTAGGGTCAACATTAAAGTTCAATATCATTTTTCTGCAGCTTTCAATATGTGGGTTTATTTCCAGTTTTTACTACAGATCTTGTACCCCTCTATGATAACTTTGCAAACAATTTTCTTATTGTTTCTTATTGTTTTTATTGTCCTCTAGTTTTATACTCAATGTAGTTGTACTTTGTTATTATGTTTATCAATTCAAAATGTAACTCGGATCCTGCATTGGAGGGAACCTTGTGCACTGGGCTGCCCTTTAAATCAAAATCTAAGTTCTAACTCAATCAAGTTATTTCTTTTAGATAAATTTTGTTTAATATGTTTCCTTGTTTTTACATTTTTATATTGATTGAATGACTCATGGTGTAGGGTGATGATCTTGTCTATGGAATATGTGAAGCAATAGATGGAGAGAAGGATCCTCGATGTTTAATGCTCACTTTTCATCTTGTGGAAGTTTTAGCATGGCTATTTCCAGAGCCATCTGGTCCACTAGCAAGTTTTGCTGGGGATATTTTTGAAATTTTAGGGTGTTACTTTCCCATTCATTTCACACATGTAAGCTCGTGGACTACTGGAATGTTTGTTACAAGTTACAGCCAGTTCCTGCTTCTTTGTTATGTTTGTATTAATTATAAAACTAAATGTATGGAGGATTGTATTATGGACAGCATTTATGGTAGAAGCATATACTGCAAGGTGCCATGAATGGTTACATGTAATCTTTCTCTGTAGTTCTTCCAAGACAATGTTCTTGTTAGAGTCAAAATTACCCATCTAATTATTAGTATCTGACCCTTTGTATGTAATTTGTTTTCCTAGATGGGACAAAAGCTTTCTAAGAACCTCATGTTCTGTTCCTTCTAAAATACCCATTAATGGCACCTAGAAGTAGGGCCCAAAGAATGTTGCCACTAGCACCAAGAGGGTCCTTCTGTTGGGAAGAACAAACTTAAAGAATCCCAAGATGAAGAACCTGTTCCAATACAAGCAACAACAAGAGAAAATGATACATGATTTTGGTTATGTAACAAGGAATAAACACATTATTTATTAAGCTGATTTTCACCATGTTAAATTTGAAGGAAAACTGGAAAAGTTGGCTTTGGTTTGAGACTAAGGGTCTATTCGTTTGCTCTGAAGTTTGACATCTGAAAGTGCAATAATTACATTAAGAGGTTATTTATCAAAAAAAAAAATAATTACATTAAGAGGTATATTGGTATTAGTGAACTTTTCTTTCCTCTAAACTCTGAATGTAGAGAATGTTGTTCTGAATTCTGAATTCTGAAAATTATCAAATATCCATTTTGACCTCATATATGAGAGTTTTTATTTGTCTTTTTGGGAGTATAATTGGAAAACAAAAAGTTGTATGATTGCACTTTAATAGATAAGAGATAAGAGGAAACGAACAACCATTTTTCTCTTAAAGTTAAACGATTCCTCTTAACAGATAAGAATTTAGAGGAAACGAACAGGCCCTAACTCTTTTCTTTCTTGTTTTAGTAGAAGATAACCTTTTTGCTAACTAAAATGGATGTTTTATAACTGAGAATGGAGTTTGGCCTTGTTCAATCTATAGGTGTGGATTGGCCTTTTATATGGTCAATATTAAAAAAAAAAAATCTGTTTTTTAGTCCAGTTCAGAGGTTTAGCAGGGTGGTTTGATTAGTGCTGTCAATGGGTCTGGTATGGTCTGTGTCAGGGTGGACCTGGACACGACTGATAAGTAAATGGCAGAACTAGTTCAGAACCAGAGTCTAAAGGGTCTGTAATTCGGACTATCAGGTGTGTGGCCTGCTAAAGTCTTGATTATTATCGAAAGCTATAGTTTTAAGCTGTTATTGACCTGCATATTTGTTAAATTGACACATTTGGACATCATAATATGATAATATTACAAGATTATCATGAAAAAAACACTTTTTTAATGGCTTGTTGGCAAGGTCTCTGGCTGGTTGTAGCTGAGACTTGGGACGGATTCTGCCCTAGAAGAATAAATATTAGACTGGGAGTATCTTTGTAGTATGCCAATAATACATATACATGATTACATATACAATTATATTTATGGTCGATTTAGGTCTGAATTGGTTTGGAACACCAAAACCAATCCTGATTCAATTATAAGTGGGACGCATAGTGCAGACCAGGCCCTATATAATTCAATCAGTTTTGGTCGGGTCTGTCAGCTCTGCCCAACCCATTGACAGCCCTATGTTTGATCAACTTGTCATATTCTTTGGTTTAATCTGGTTTTGTGTCTTTGGCATTTGATCTGCCCCCAGGTCTTCAATTATACTTACCCATGTAATTGCCTGGTTCTTTGATCATCTAGTTTAATCATCCATTTTGATTTTACTTTTGAAATATTTTGTGAAATGTTAGAATCGACATCTCAGTCTTTCCTAAGGCGGTCTTTTGGTATATAGTAGTTGCAATGCATGTGATTAATACCCGGTCAAACTTGGAGTCCTCTTTACTTGTCTCTTTAGTTGTCAGTCAAGTATCAAATTGTCAATACCTTAATGCCATTTTTTTAGGTCAGTAAGAAGAAATGGTTTTATTAAAACAAGCCAGATTAATTACATAAAAGAGGGTGTCATTTTTTTTTGATGAATTAAGAGAGGGTGTCACTATCACCCAAGAACCAGGAAACTGAGAAGCATATCCCAAGAAATTACAGTAGAGCCCTAAACAAATGCTGTCTATAGACCTCACACTCAATATACCTCAACTCCCTCCTAAAACCAAAATCCCAAATCAAATTAGAAGTAGAAAAAGTGTCAAATCTTGAGATAGGTTGGCTCTTGTATCAGAAATTGAAAATGTGCCAGGGAATAGGGTACTGAGGGGATTTCCATCCAACCAAAGGTCTTCCCAAAATGGGGCTTTTGATCCATACCCCACGTCAAATATGATGAAATTAATAAAGGTTGGGCATACCTCTTGGATTGCTTCCCACGAAGAGCTCAAGGTTGAAGAAGGAGCTACCTTTGCATCCCGGCCATTATTCATCCCTCCATGAATGCTTTCAATGACCTTGTGCCACAATCTGTCCCTTTCCAATAGAAAATCCAAAGCCACTTGTTTTTTTTAATAGATAAAATCCAAAGCCACTTCCCTAACAAAGAAGTGTTCCTAAGAATTAGGTTCCCCAATCCTAGTCCTCCCTTCTCTTTTGTTTTGCTAACTTGTCTCACTTCACTAAATGGTCCCTTTTCTCCTCTCCAAGATTCGAAAGAAAGTCTCTCATCAGTTTCTCTAATTGTGCTGCTACCCTAGATGGAATCCTGGATGCATAGAGATGTAGTTCCTTTTCCAAAGAGCCAACTTCTTGGTAACTCTTTCTACTATCGGCTTCCAGAAAGCTTTAGATCTTGGGTTTCCTCCTAAGGGTAGTCGTGAATATTCCATTGGCCACTGCTTGATTTCACACCCTAACATCCCAGCTAAAACTATTAGCTCTTCTTACACATTGATCCCTGCTAGACAACTCTTGCCCCAATTTATCCCCAACATGGCCAAAAAAATACTCCTCATCCTTAACCACCTACCTGACCCCTGATGCAATTGAGCTCTGTCTCTTTACATATATCCTCTCCTAACTCCTCATCTCCTTCTTCATATCAGCCTATGTTTTTTACTAAACTTTCTCTTATTCTTATCTTCCTTCTTGGCATTCTTGAATTGCTTGAAAGCACTCCTTGCAATCTTCCCCTCCCCAAAAATCAAACCCAGAGATTTGCCCACTGTCACCTCCTTCTCAGCTAGTGTATTAATCTCCATATTACCTTTGTGAAGTCTATTCGAGGCCCCTTCTCACCCCTTCCTTGTTTCTTCTTTATTCCCCCTCATTTTCTATGGGCACCCTTTCCTAATCTCCTCCTCTCCTCCTCCTCTCCTTTCATTCTCGTATCAAGGCCCCCAACTTTTCTTTTCCTCTTAAACACCATTTGCTTTCTTGTCTCCCTTTCCAACTTCCTCTTCCTACTGACAACCCCTTCTTCTCTAGACTTGTTCCTATGGTGCTCCACCAAATGTCTCTCCTCCACCGACCCCTCTTCCCTCACAGAAGAGATGATATCATTTGCAAATTGCAAGTGCATAACTGCCACCTCAAGCCTTTCTACTCTCCACCATGTAAACAAATTGTTATGTCCGGTCTTTGATATCATTCTGCTCAGAACATCTGCAACTAGAGTGAACAAGAAGGGAGATAGTGGATCCCTTGCTACACCATTTTCCAATATGGAATAATGTACCGAGCTCAAACAACCTTTAATTGATGTCCACCTCTTACCCAGACCTATTTTCTCCACTATATCAAGGAGGAGTGACCAATCAATAAAACCATAGGCCTTCTCTAGATCCAATTTACACGCCAACCCTTTTCCTCTTTTCTACTACATGCTCATTTGCCACCAAAATTTGATCAATGATCTGATATCTGCAAAGGCATTCACTGTGCTTTTCACCCACTGAAATTGGATGTCCATCCCCCTAGTTAGCCATTTGATTTCCCTTCTTTCATTAGCAAACTTCCAAAGACCACTTCCCCTCTGCAGCCAGCTCAACACTAACCGAGTCCCCTTCAATAATTAATTTTTGTACATTCAGTTCCTTACTCTTTTTAATACCCTCCAATACAGCATAGGTATCAGCTTTCAGAGAGTCCCCAACCCCAATGGAGCCTGAATACATTGCCATCACCTTCCCCTCCTCATCTTTGAAGACACCTCCTACACCTTGAAATTGTGAAATTACCAATGGTAACACCTTCTTCAGTCTCCCAGCTAAGACCTTTGCAATGATTTTATAGAGACTTCCCACTAGACATTAGTCTAAAGTCCTTTGGTTCTTTTACCTCCTTCTTCATGGGAATCAAAGCTATGAATGTTGAGTTTAGTCCTCTGGAAATTTCCCCTTCCTAATAGAGCTCATTAAAGACTTCCAACAGATCACCTTTTAAAATGTCCCAGCACTCCTGATAAAAGGCTATGGAGAAACCATCTGGCCCTAAAGCTTTAGATCTTTCCATTGAAAATACAGCCTCTGTAATTTCCTCAAGAATAAATGCATTTTCCAGGGCTGCTGCTAGAACTCCAGGCATTCTATTCCACTCAAGATCTGGGAATGACCCAATCGTCTCCCCTAAATTCGTAAAAAGACCCTTAAAGTGGTCCACAGAAGCCTTGATAACCTCCCCTTCCCTTGTTACCTCTTGGCCTTCCAGCTCTAGCCTTGTTAGTAGATTTTTCCTTCTACCCCTATCTAAGGAGTGGAAGAATTTTGTGTGACCATCCCCCTCCAAGAGCCACCTGCATCTGGATTTTTGTCTCCATGAGATCTCTTCCTTTGTTAGCACTTCCCACCTTTACTCTCTTTCCTCCCCACTAATATCTCTACATGCTTCTTTTTATCCAATTCTTCAATCCTTAGAGAAATTCTTTCCTTGGATTCCTCCACTTTTCCAAAGAGGTCTTTATTCCGTGCTTTTATTTTTTTTTCCTCCAGCCTCTTTAAACTCCTCAAAAAACTGACACCTTTCTTTGAGCCCCTATGACCTATCTCTTGCCACCAGGATTTAATTTTATCTACAAAGGTAGAGTCCTCCAACCACATGTTTTCAAACATCCTTGATCTATGGTAAGATTTGGTGATGCGCAATAAACATTCATAAAGCATTAATTAGCAATGTGTTGAAGGCCCTAAATGGTGGGGGATATTGAAAAGGCCATGACTTGATCTCTTGTAAGAGAAGCTAGAGCATTTGCCAACAGAAAGTTTTGCCTAAATAAGGTTGGTAATTTTGGACATCACTCATATAGGATTTGAGGGTTGACCTCAGATATGGTTGCACCACTATTCTAGTGAATTTCCAGTTTGTTTGCTTTTCTGTCCAACATTTGTGATGATAAATATGGTGCTATATTGTAAGGCATTTTATTTTTCAATGCTTATGCTTTGCTTATGACATATCATGGTGCATTGTATTTTTATTGGCAATATTTTTTTTTTTGTTTTTCTCACCTTTACTCTGATGCTGCATTATTTGGAAGAATGACTTTATTTCGTAATACATGCAGCAACAGGGTGATGATTTTGATATTAAAAGGGATGACCTCTCAAGGGCTCTGATGGTATGTAAGTTGCTGTTTTTGGAAATGTCAAATGACTTGGAGCTGTTTTATATTCTTTATGAGCTTATAGTTATTGGCAGTGTCCTTGCCTTGTCAAATGACAAAATCCATTCTTTATATTTTATAAAAAAATTGCCATTTATTTCTGATATAATGTAAATTGTCTTTTGGGGTAATTCCCATAAACACCATCTTTCCTAATATTTAGGTAGGACTGCCGGATAAAGATGATATGGATGGAGTTCATTTGATGTTTGTCAACTAAAATGCAAAGTCACCAGATTAACCAGAGTACAGTGTTCATCTTTTATGAATGAGTTACTACATGCTAATTCAGGTTGTTGGATCAATTTGCCAAAATCCATTAATTGAAAGCCATGGTTCATGGGAGAAAAAGGAGGGGGTGGGGACTGGTAGAGATAAAAGTCTACAATTCTACACATCATTTAGGTTCATTTTCTTATCGGGCATGAAGTTTGTTCCATATTATTTGGGTCCTTGGTGACAGGTCAACCAGCCCAAGCCAATTAGCTCTAGGGTTTGAAACATTGGTATTGTTTGAAATGATTTATTTTTTATATATCCTAACAAAAACTTCATTTTGCAGCTGGCTTTCTCTTCATCTCCTCTTTTTGAGCCCTTTGCTATCCCATTGCTACTTGAAAAGCTTTCTTCTTCTCTACCTCTAGCTAAGGTTAGTGGTATTAAACTTATCCATCTTGGAGGCATCTCAATCAAATTGCTCCAGAATTGTATTTTGTTTTTCTAATGTGCTTTTTAACTATTTGGAGCAATGGCTTTGTATTTTTACAGGTTGATTCTTTCAGGTATCTGAGCCATTGTGTATTGAAATATGGAGTGGACAGAATGGGAAAACATGCTAAAGCAATTTGGTCTTCATTGAAAGATGCAATTTTTACCTTTTCATTACAAGGAAATATATTCTCACTGGCTTCAGACTTGCCGGATACTATGGGATTCGAGGAAAATGATATTACAAAAGAAGCTCTTATATGTTTGGAAAAGGTCATATTGCAAAATGATGGCATATTTCTTAGTTTAATTGTTGATGATGAAGACGTAGAAATGATTCTTAGGTCTGTTACTATTTCTAATAGTTATAACAGTCTTTCAGTGGAAAGCAAGCAGAAGCTACTAGCATTTGGCCGAATTATTGTTGTTTCAGCAAAAATCTCCAGTTCTTCCTGTGATAGGATTTTCCATTTTTTATTTCCGCGCTTGATGGATATCTTGGGACTTTCCTCAAGCAGTTTGTCTTTGGAATGTATTCCATATGGAAGTCCTGTGTCTTTTGGACAACTGAATTTTGGAGCCATTTATCTCTGCACTGAACTCCTTGCTGCATGCAGAGATTTAATTGTAGGTTCTGAAGATATTGCCCCGCAATCTGTTTTAATGCAAGTGAGTTGGTGCTGCTTACTGCAAAGATTTTCTGGTCCTTTAACTACTTTTCTCAGTTCCTCCTTGGTAACAAGCATGAAGCAAGAGAACTGTGATGCAAATATTTATTCTGGAGGTAGAGGTCAAACTCTTTTTCACTATTTACTCCTAGTCTTTCTTGAGACGTTTTTCCCCTTACCTGATCAGTAAGACACTTAATGGTTAATACTCCTTTCATGGCATAACATGTTACTTTGTACCTATTAATGTGAAAAATTGAGAAAGCTTCTCAGCATCCAAAATTATAGAGAGAAGGCAGTACAATCAGATAAAGCTGCCAAGAACATGCAAGATTTAAGATTTAAGCAACCAAGTTGAAAGTACATCTATCCATGGCCCTGGTGTTGACACAGAAGTTGGTTCCTAGTTACTCTATTTCTAACAAGAGCATCATCTGGTTTTGTATATCACTTTTTTTTTCTTATTATCTTCATGTTATGATTCATGCTAAGAATACCTTTGCATACACCGGGAAAGGAATTAAGGCGCACATGAATATAATGAGGTAAGGTGCCATGGATAGATAGGCTTTGCATAATATTTTAATAATCCAAACATTTTTCACAGAAGACAATCTTGTATAAACATGTGAACTCTAGACAATTAAAATGTGATTGTGGCGTCCATTCATAAAGTTAACACTAATCATTTTATAGTAAAATGTAAAATTAGAAGCTTTTGTATATGGTCACAAACAAACCATACTCATGTTAGAAATGACAAACATAATCACAAGGATGGTGACTAGGACAGCTGATTTGGGCGAATTGAGGCTTTTTTAACCAGAAACATGTATCCAAGGAAATGTTCCTGCTCTAGTTTGTACACATTTCTAAAAATATAGAATTGCTATTGATATTTTTTAGATATATAATCTAAAAACTCTTAGTGATAAGTACTTATAAAAATATCTTAATGAAGCCCAATTTTAAGATGACAGGAGCAAGGTGTTGAAGGGATTATATAGATACTTTTCTTGTTAATACTTTTGCCTTTTCTTTTATGTGGACTTACCATATCTATAATCTATTAAGGCACTGAAAGTCCTGCCCATTTCACTGGGAAGCTGGAAGTTAAGGGGAGAAGTAGAGATAAAGGGTCAGAGAAGGAAAAGGGAGATAATGGTAATGAGGAAGCAATGGCAGAATTTGTTGGGAAACTTGGGTGTGAGATGAAAGATCCAAATGACTTGAAGACAAGGGGATAAGGAATAAGGGGTATAAGTTGAGAAAGAATGAGGGGGAACTGGGGAAGGAAAGGCAAGGAAGAGGAAATTGAGTGAAGTTGAGAGACTAAGGTTGGATGTAGAAGGGGATAAGGAATCTAGTGGGAGGAGGGATAAGACAAAAGTGAAGAAGTAGATAAAGAAGGATCAAGAGGGAGAAACAATGTAGTGGAAATGAAAGTAGTTAGCTGGAATTTAGAGGATTAGGGAGCGCGGGGGAAAAGGTCAATTATTAATGGCTAGGGGTATAAGTTGGCAAGAGTTTGATAGAAGATGGGCAAGAAGCTCATGGAGGGCTAGGGGTGTTAGTTGGGTAATGGCTCCATCTTGGGGCCTTCGGGAGGCATAGTGACATTACAGAGAGATGAGGTGGTTTTGATTGGGTGTTAGTAAATGTTTATGGACCTGATGGATATAGAGAGAGGAATGAACTATGAGAAGAATTGGGAGATATTAGAGGGTTGTGGGAGTGACCATGGTGTCTAGGAGGTGACCTCAATGTCATTAGATTCTTGGAGGAGACAAATAACAATTGACAATGCATTTCTACTAGTATGAGTATGTTTAATCAGTTTATAAACACCTTTGAACTTAAGGAATTGCCTCTCATGTCTCGTAGGTTTACCTGGTCCAAACTTTAAGCCAACCCGGTTTGTTCAAAAGTGGATAGATTTCTATTCTTGGTGGATTGGGAGGGGCATTGGGGGGTCTAATTTCAAGAGTTCTGCCAAGGGTAACATCAAATTGGCCAATTTCCATCTATAAGGAAGAACAAGGAAAGAGAGTACCCCAAGGGTAAAATGGAACATTCAACATTTTAGGAGACTTGACAAAAGGAAGATTATGGTTATCAATAAAATAGAGGAGTTGGATGCCAAGGAAGCTAGGGAGAATTTTGAGTAAAGGGATAAAGAAACTAGATGAGAGTTTAGGAAATAGTTGGAGGATTTATTATATAAAGAGGAAATTAGTTGGAGCCAAAAATCAAGATTCAAGAAGCAAGGAAGCCATCATTGGATTAATATATGTTAGGGTGGCTCACTGGGTCAAGTCCTTGAAGCTTTTTGAAGCCTATTCAGTAAGAGAAATCATTAGAAATTGGGAAGAAGTGGCTTGGTCTGCTCCCATGTCTACTGCCCTTAGTCCAGCTTGGACTCAGCCTCGGGATTCATCAAATTGAACTTTGATGGCAGCAGTGAAGGAAATCCAGGCCTTTCAGGCATAGGTGGTATTTTCAGGGATGAAGAAGGTCGAATTATTGCTATGTTCTCAGGACCTATAGGTTGGGGGGATTCATTGAGAGCTGAAATTTTGGCAGCTCTAGAAGGGATCAAAAGAGCTAAGCAGATGAAAATCAGTAATCTGTTGGTGGAAGGTGACACTCGGCTGACTGTTAGATGGCTGCAGAAGGAAGAGTCCAGCCTGTGGAAGTTTTCAAATGAAAAAAAGAAAATTAATCATCTAACTCAAAATATGCTTATTAGGGTTCAATGGGCCAAGAGGAGTGCTAACTCTGTGGCGGACACTTTGGCTAAACAGGGGGTGGGAAGAGCAAATTTCTTTTGGGCTCTCTTGTAATCTGTTTTTTCTGTTTTGATAGGGAGGGTTAAGAATTTTTACCCCTCCCTTCTGTTTGTAATTTTCTATCTTCTTCTCTTAATAATAGTTGCTGTTATTGATAAAAAAAAAAATCAAGATTCAAGACATAAATGGGTAAAGGAGGCAGATAGAAATATAAAGTTTTTTCATGCAATGGCTAATGGCAGAAGGAGAAAAAAATCATATTTCTGTCCTAGTGGTGGATGGTGTAACAATCAGGTAGCAAGATGAGATAAAGTATTTAGAGAGCACTTCAAATCAACTTTTAGAAGACCCTTGAACAATAGGATGTGGCTGGAAGGACTGGATTGGCCTAGGTTAACAATTGAGATTAAAAATTAGTTGGAGAGGAATTTTGAGTTGGAGGGAAAAAAGAGGCAATGTTCTCCATCGAAAGATCTAAAGTTCATGAGTCAGATGGATTCACAATGGCTTTCTACCAAGATTGTTGGGACATCTTGAAAGAGGATTTGCAGGAAGTGTTCTATGAATTCTTTGGGAGAGGGATGATAAATCCAGGATTAAACTCAACTTTCATTGCTGTGGTGTCTAAAAAGGCTGATGCTTTGCATCCTAGAGATTTTAGACCTATTAGCTTGACGAATAGTTTATATAAAATTATAACTAAGGTTTTGTCTCTAAGGATTAGAGCTGCTCTTACCAGAATTATTTTTCTGGATCAAGGGACATTTGTGAAGAATAGACAAATAACTAATCAGATTTTAATTGCAAGAGAGAGTGTAGAGGAGTTGAAAAGGGGTGGAAAAAAGGGTTATTATTTGCTGATAAAAAAAGGATTGTTATTTAAGTTGGACTTATAGAAAGCTTAGAATTTGGTGGATTGGTCCTTTTTGCTAGAAGTGATGAGAAATTTTGGTTTAGGGGAAAGATGGTGTAAGTGGGTAATGGGATGTGTTAGGACTTGTAAGTATTCCTTATTGGTGAATGGAAAGTGGTTGGTTTCTTTCTAGCTATGAGAGGAATTAGGCAAGGGTACCCTCTATCACCTTTCCTCTTCACTCTAATGGTTGTGGTTCTTGGGAAAATAACCACTAGGGCTGATTCTAGGGGTTGGATGAGGAAATGGAAGATTGGGCATGAGGGGGGTGTCAATAACATATTTGTAGTTTGTTGATGACACGACCTTGCTCTGTGAGGCAGTAGATAGAAGATGGATTAGAAATATGAAATTAGTTGTATAGTTATTTGAGAAAGTGTCAAATTTGAAGGTGAATTTTGATAACAGTTGTGTAGTGGGAATCAACATGGAAGAAGGAGAAGTGGTAGTATATGAATATTTTAGGATGTGGGGTAGCATAGTGGCCTTTGAAATACTTGGGTTTACCTTTGAGAGAGAATCCAAAGAAGAGAAGTTTTTGGGACTCTTTCGTAGAAAGGTTTAAAAAAGTCTTGCATCTTGGAAGAAAAATTATCTTTTATTTGGTGGTAAGATTACCTTGATCAATTCAACCCTGACTAATCTGCCTGTGTATTATATGTCTGTATTTAAGATGCCAGTTAGAGTGGGGCAGAAGTTGGAAAAGTTAATGGGGGATTTCCTATGGGAGCCAAGTGAGGAAAAGAGGGACCACAGAGTTAGATGGGAAGTAATGAGCAGAAGTAAGAAGCTTGGGGGCCTAGATATTGGAAATTTGCAGAAGAGAAACAAGGTTTGTTGGGCAAATGGCTGTGGAGGCTACTTGAAGAGACAAACAAATTATGGGCAAAAGTAATTGTTTGTAAAGAGACTGGGCCGAATGGGCCCTAATAGCCTCTCATGTGATATCCTTTATTTTATGTTGATGGGCCTCACTTAATGGGCCTGTTATTTGTTCTTATTTTACTTTCTTTATGTAACTGCCATGCTGGCCGCCCACTTAAGGGTATACTTGTCATCATCAATTTTTAGAGATTAATAAAAATAGGGTTAGAGGAGAAGGGTGATTAACTCGACTTCTTCCTCTACCTCTTCTCTTCGCCATCTTCCTCTCCTATACAGTTATTCAGATCTGTTCTATTCTGCTAATCACTAAATTTAATCTTGATATTAGAGGACTGATTTACATCTTTGTTAATATACACACACTTGGAGCTGAAGTAGACTTGGCAATTGGGTTGGGTGGGTAGGGTTCGGGTTGGATCAAGACACTTCGGGTTGATTTTGGGTCGGGTGGCAAATGCTAGACCCTAACCCTAAATGTTCAGGTTAGGGTTGACCCAGGGGTCAATTTGGGTCATCCCTAAAAATAACTAGAATTTTAAAAATTAAGAAAAAATACATGAAAAGTGTCAAGATTAAAGGAATTAACCTTAAAATTCTAAACAGAGAATAAAAAACTCAAACATTCAACAATTCAAAGAGTAAAACTAAATCGTAAAGATTAAAGAGTGGAAACTTCTAATAATACATAAATAATCCCAATTAGACCTGACAATCAGGTCACTGGGTTGACCCATGACCCAACCCAACCCAACCCAATTTTTTCTAGGTTGGGTGTTGCTATCACTTATTAATCTCCACACTGGTTTGTTCTCTTTAAATTCAGTGGGGAGCCTTGCTATCACTTATTAATCTCCTGCCCCTTTGTATATTCCATTTGGGATTGGCTTTTCTCTTTATATGGGTGTAGGTGGAATCCTCTGCCAAATGTGCAAAGTTTGTTTGCCTCTTTTTTAGTTGGCCAAAGAAGATGGGAAGATTGTTATGGAGATGTGTAAGAGCTGCATCAGTTTGTACTATTTGGGAGGAAAGGAATGCTAGGATATTTTCAGAAAAGGAAAGAGTCAAAGAGGCCATTGTTGAGGCCATCATTGTCAAGGCAGTTTAATGGGCAAAATCCTCAGAATTGTTTGACGAGTTTTTAGCAGGTGACATTATGAGAAAGTGGAAGGAGGTGGCTTGCTCAGATAGAAATAAGCTTGTTATTAAACCTGCTTGGTCCCCGCCAACTTATGGCTAACTGAACTTTGATGGGAGTAGTGCAGACAACCCTGGTCCCTGAGGTATTGGTGGTGTGTTCAGGAATGGGATGGGCAACACATTGGTCCATTCTCTGGGCCAATTGGTGTTGAGGATTCTTTGAGGGCTGAACATCAACAATTTGATTATTGAAGGAGATTAAAAAATAGTGGTTTTTTGGCTACAAAAGGAAGAAGCCTGATTATGGAGCTATAGTAATGAAAGGAAGAAAATTAAATGGTTGACATGAGAAATGAATGCGAGATTTAATTGGGTCAAAAGAATAGCTAATGGTTTTGCCTATGTCTTGGCAAAACAAGGGGTGGGAAGATGTTAAATGGGATACACATGCTTGCATCCCTGTCCAGGATCTCAGAAAATGGAGGGTTTTAAAACTTCAGTCACAAGGTCTGCATCAGGGATTGATGTCTAATCCATATTTGTTTGCATCAGTCAGGGATTGATTGATTAGGTTTCCTACCGTATGCAGGGTAAATAAGGAGAAACATTCATTTTTAGGATACTAGTCAATTTCGTTTTTTAAATTTAGAGCTGAGCCTAATATTCTGATCTATAATTTTTTACTGTTCCTTTTTCTTTGTGTTTAGCTCTAATAACATTTATTTTTTTCTGGATTAATAAATATGAAGCAAGTAAAGTTTAAGTTTCATATACATTTATGCATCTTTATTCCCATTAATCTGCAGTGAAAGGTTTGAGGACTCTGGCTACATTTCCAGGATGGTTCTTACCAATATCAAAGTCAATATTTGAGAATATTTTGACAGTCTTCATGTCAATTTTAACTGCTGGATGTGAAGAGACACTGCTATGGAAACTGTCTTTGAAGGCATTAGTGCAAATTGGTACATTCACTGAGAAATTTCATGATTCTGAGAGGGCGACAAGTTATATGAATATTGTTGTTGGAAAGATTGTTTCATCAATTTCTCTTGATGATTCTTCTATGCCTTATTCACTGAAACTTGATGCAATTGCTGAGATTGGTGGATCTGGGATGCATTTTATGCTGAAAGTAATCCAAGGGTTGGAGGAAGCTATATCTGCCAATTTCTTTGAGGCTTCTGTATGTTTGGGTTGAATTCTTTATCTGACAGTTTGGACATTATCTTTTGTTTTGGGACCCTATAAATCCTCACTACAATGCATTTTATGTCTTGGTTGGTTCCTAGCATCTTATGCAATCATTTTGATGTGACGGGACAGCCAAGAGGGATTATCTTAAATTATGGAGATTCCTTTTTAGGGATTTGTCTTGGATTTGATGGCATAACACCGCCGAATGGTGTAAGACGTGCTATGACGAATTTTCCCTTTATTCAGTCATTCAGTGAGGATATTATAGGTGTCCCTTTTGCTTTCTTTCTTTCTTTGGCCTCCTCATTGTCATATTCTTTTTTCTTACTTATAGGATTTGTAGTTCTTTTTTCACTTTAATGATACATCAAAGCCTCATTGTGTTGCTTGTACAGAGCAAAGGAAATCTGAAGTCGGTTGAGGTTTTAATTCCTCTTCTGGAGTGTTTTTCCAAAAAAGTCCTCCCATGGTATGCAATTCTATTGTGAAGATATCTGTCTCTGTTTTCAGTCTCATCATGCTTATCTTATAACTTAAAATATAATGTTTGGGTCAGGTGCCAATATGAATACCTTTGTACATAACTCTTCAGAAATTTCTAATGGTTAACAATGTAGTTTGCCTTTTACTGAGATATCTTTTGATGTGCTGTTTATGATGAAACTGTGCATAAGCACTTTTGTTTTCAATGAAATTGCATTTTACTAAAAATGTATATTATTTTCACCTCCTATATTCTAAGGATTCTACATTTTAGGAGTATTGTGCTTGCCTCTCCATTTACCTTTGATTACATGCTCATAATTCTTTAACAGTGAAAGCGACTAAGGTATGTCTAGAATTGTGAGTCAATTTGAGGGATGTTAAATTTCTTACTGCACACTTGTAAATTGTATTGTGGTGGAATTCTAGGACAACAGCATGCTTTCTCCATATTGAATATGATCATATCGTTTAACCATATTATCCATGTGTACACAGAATTCTTTAATATGATGAGCGAGTCAATTTTTTAATCCAGTGTAGTTTTATTCATAGGATCTGCTCTCACTTCTGGAACTAGCAGTCTTCTGTATATCACAAAAGGGGTAGAACCATGTGTACTTGACACTCTTTTGGGAACAGTGTGGCACTTGTGCTGGGGAAGAACAATTGACTTCTCTTTAGATGAGCTCTCCAAGATTTTTGACTTTATTTTGATCAAGATTGTTGGATTATGGCTTCAAGTTGTTTGAGGGTACTCCTTGATCATTTTTTTTAATAAATGTACTCCTTGATCATTATGACTCAGCTATAAGAGATTAGGTTGCTATCTCTGGATCTGTCACCCTTGAATCTTCAAGTTATAAACCATTTATTCTTTGTCATCAGCAAAAGAGAACAGTATCAGACTTAGATGGCTATTCACTTGGTAACTATTTTACATAGATGCAGTGAGAAGTAGGAATGGACTAGGTGAAATTTCTAATACTAACAAAATATGCAAGCTGAATGTCCATCTAAGATTGATTGGTGTCACCTGGGTTGGAGAGGTGTTCGTGGCTGGCAAATAACTTTTTTCATGTGGTATGCTGGCCCCCAGATAAGTCTCCCTAGATTGGAGATTCTCTCTCTATTTTGAAGTTTCTCTTTTGTACCCTTGTGTAGCTGCAAGAGCTTGAAAATTGAAAAGATTCCAAGTGGTTATTTAGTGGATATAGTTGTGATTGAAGGATGAAAAGAAGAAAAGTAGAAGTAGAAGATTAAGAGAGAACATTAGGAAGTTTGAAAGGCAAAAAAGTATTGGTTGCAGCCTTCTCATAAGGTTTTGAACTAATTGCTAATATATGCATAATTACATTTTTGCCTGACTAGAAAAAATTAAAAAGGACAAGTATGACTCTAATCAGCTGCCCTACAACATATATTAAGTTGAAAAATATTTGGGGAAATCTGAATTCCAGTCTCTCCAAGAGCGGAACTGTTTGTCATTGATGTCTCCCTAACTATATATCATTTTTAGAGTAGAGGATTATGGATGATTTGAGTATGGTCTTTTGTTTGCAACGGGCATGATGAAAATGTCAAGCATATTCTTCATCCATTGCATGACTGCAGTTTTCATTTGATCTTTTTCTTGTTGCTTTGGGAGCTACTTTTTTTGTCTTATTAATTGTCATGAATTTTTCTTGCTATAATTCATCTGGACTGTGAAGATATTGATAGGTCTTCATTTTATTCTGGTTTTACGGGTCTACTCATGATATTTGACTACATATGTATAGGGATTGATGGACTTATTAATCTTGTATTTTGTTGTTTCTAAATTTGTGGCTGGGATGTTGTGCAAACACTTATTTTTCAATATTTTCTTCATTAGCAAAAGGTTTTCTTTTCTACTACTAAAAAAAAGTAGATGATTAGGGAAACTCAAGTCTTGGTAGGGGCGTCACTTGCATTTTGAAGGAAGCATGGGCTCATTTGTATATTGAAACTCAACCAACGAAGATTTAAGGGTGTAAATGTTTTTTGAGATCTAGGCTAGGTTGTTGGGAACTTAGACTCATAAATCAATTAGTGTAAGGGTGGCAATTTTCTAACTCAACTCATCAAACTTGCCCAACCCACCCATTTATAACCTGCCCATTTACTTGGTGGGTTAAAGATGGATTGGATGACCCATTGGATAGAATTAAATTGGTTGGGTTGGGTTGGATTGTGGGTACCCATTCAACCTAGAAACAATACCACCTTCCTTTGGGTCAATGGTTTAACTATTCAAGTCAAAAGAGTCAACCTGTGATGCCATTATTAAATAATAAAAATATAAAATAGATAAAATACAAAAATTGTACAAAATTTTAGGAGTTGACTGGTCCAACCTGACAGGCTTCTATGAAGATGGATTTTGATCGGTTTGGAGTTTGGATTGGCCGGTTCTCTGAACTGCTAGCAAGGTTAGACAGTCCAACTGATTGGTTGAACCATCCAATTCAACAGGTGACCATCATTAGACAAGTCCAAGTGGATGGGTTGCTAATGGAGTTGATTGCTCTGGACTGGTCAGTTCGTTGAGCTGCTGGCAAGTTTGGCTGGCCCAACAATGAGATGGAAATACACCATTGCTTGTGTAAAAGTTCATGCTTGCAATGTGACTTCTCAGAACACCCAAATGAAAGACAATCACTTTTTATGAAATAAAAATTGTTAAAGTGTTAATGGTTTGGCAGTTTGGGTTGAATCAGCCCATTTAATTTCATTTAAATGGGTCATTAATGGGTTGGAAGGAGTTAAGCCCAGGAAGGAGAAGACCTAGGCGGAGCAAGTCAGGCCCAACAGGCCCATGCATCAGTCCAGAACACCCCCACGAATCACGTGGGTGGCATCCCCCATTACATTCGTATACACCCAATGCCACGTATTAAAAAAGTAATCATCGACTGTTTAAATGCTCAGAATAGGTTATAAGTTGTTAGTTGGCCATTTACTATATAGGCCAATGAATGAATGCATGAAGGACAGCGAATGAATCTTTGAGATTTCTCTTTCTCTCTTTGTCTTCCTCTCTCTCTTCTCTCGTCTTCTTCCTCTTGTGCATTTCAGGAGGGCGAGCTCCCTCGAACCAGCTCACCGGTGACAGACAGTAACGGGCCTTATCAATTGGTATCAGAGCCATCCAGATCCATGGATGCGCGGATGACGAGGCTTGAAGGCCGTCTCAGTTGTCTTGAGGAAATTCAGGGGATTCAGAAAGGGATTCTGGCCTAGTTGAAGATGATTTTAGGCAAGCTGGACACGATGATTGGTCCTCTAGAAGAGCGTAGTCGTCGAGCTCCTTCCGTCAACACTAATTCTGGAGAAGATGGAGGATTGAAGCCTATAGAGAGCGTTAGAAAACCAGTAACGACAACATGATCATCAACAGTAGAGACTTCAACCCCAACACCGAGCTTAGTGATGTTAGGTGACAGAATAGGGGAGGTGGTTCAGAAGGGCAGTGAGTATACCCCCGACCAAGATCTACCAACATCCCAACCCTAGTCAATTTGTCACCCCACCCATTGAATTCCCTGAAGCTCAACCACTGGTCCCCGTTCTCTTCCCTCTCACTCTCTCCCTTAGATCGAGCATGTTCATACCCAGCCAAGGTCTGTCTCAGTTGCTCAACCTCTGGACATCATGTTCGTTGGCAGCAACCATAACCTGATCCATCCCACCATGCCTCTTGAAACCCATATCAGCCCACCCTCTCGTTTTACAGATCCCTTTTCTTTTCCCCTTCCATTTCAGTGGATGGGACCCTCTTTGGTATAGTGTCCCTTGGCATCCTTCGATCCTATTCACAGCCCGAATTATTATTTCCAATACAATTCAACCAAACCTTATCAGTAGACCTGTTCATGGGCCGAGCCGAGCTGGGCTTTTACTCTTCATAAACAGGATTTTGTTAGGCCCGAGTTCAAGCCCGACCTGACCAACGGGCCTACAACTTGGGCCCGAGCCTGGCCTTGATAAAAAGCCCGAAGCCCGACCTAACAAAAAGATGGGGATTTTTCCCTATTCAAATGGACATAATCCATTTTAATTTAGATGGTTTTTTTCCCTATTCAAATGGCCAACGGGCCTACAAGATGGTTTTTTCCCTTTCTTTTACGTTTTAAAGCACCGTTTTACATTCTTAAATAAAAAAATCTATTCAAATGGACATAATCCATTTTTATTTCATTTTTATTTTCTTACAATCAAGTGAATCAACAACCTTCTTTAAGGTTGTTTAATATATTCCCTGTTGTTTGGTTGTTTCTATACAACCAAGGCAAACCTGAAATAAAACACATGATAATCCATTTTAACTCCTACAAAGAATCCATTTTTTTTCTTACAATCAAGTGAATCTAAGGTTGTTTAATATGTTTCCTATTGTTTGGTTGTTTCTATACAACCAAGGCAAACTTGAAAATAAAACATATGGGACAAGGAAAACCTGAAAATAAAACACATGACACCAAATCATATAGCTTCATATTCCTACAAATAGCATGACACACTAAAACTAAATTCATATAACTTAATGTTCCTCCAAAATCATAAAAAAAAAATCTGAATAAGACAAACAAAATCCATAAAACATGTTCTCCATCCATTCTTGAATTCACCAACAAGATGGAATATTCAAACTCTCAAGTTCCAAGCCGTTCTAAAAAATAAAATAAAAGACCACTTCATTGCCCATATCAAACAAAACATGTTTTAGCCATCTCCATTCATTCTTGAATTCACCAACAAGATTGAATATTCCAACTTCCAAGTTCTAAGCCATCCTACAAAAGAAAATAAGAGATAAATTCATTACCCATATCGCATATGTAATTTGTTATCATGTCAAATGACAAATAAATAATGAAAATATATGTTATTATAATACCTAAAACATATCATCAAGTTCGGCATTTTCATTATCATCATCACTACTATTTGATCTTTCATCCT